GCAGATCTTACCTAGCAGCTTTCTGTATTTTGCAATTCAAGTGGTACTGTAACTCAGTGCCAGTCAGTGCTTTTAACTTTTATCTTTAGCTCATGACCCATCCCATCATTCCTCCACCGGATTTACTTTTACAAGGTCAACTGCCTGACGATAACCAAGTGTCTACTTCCCACCCCAGTAGACACAAAAACTGATACGTTACGATACGAACAGTCAAACAAACTGCACTAGAATAACATGAACCCGTCTTCGGCTCAATGCCAAAAATGAACCACATTCTTAAATATCATAACCATAAATCTCTACGCACAAGAATAGCATTATTCAGTTAATACACAGTTTTAGGTCAGGTGTAGAACATAAACTATGTATCGAACACGGTTTCTTGTTGACCATGCGCGCGTGCCATAGTTCTTGATGTCAAGGCTACAGCTGTCCGGTGACTTTTTCTCCTGTACTTTGCAGACGATGTAATCGTCCAACAAACGTATAAGGTGTTACGGCTGGACCTACGACAGCCACCACCTGGCCGCAACATGTCTTGCATAGTTGACTATGACTTTTTAACCTTATTTGATATATTTGCCTGTATGAGGATAAAAGTACATTCGTTGACAACGATCATTATGCTGTTTAGAGGATTGCTCCGCAAAGGACCATAACACTGTAATTAATTTATACTGTATGACGATTATGGAAAGGTATAAACCTTGTTCCGCATCTCCATCAGTACACTAGATTTCCACTACGGAGAAAAAAAAAATAATCAGAAAATGGCATTCCTCCACTTCCCTCCGCACATTTCCTGAAAGTATACTGGGGCACTATGTACAGCATTATTAATATGCACACCTGTGGTATATCCAGAAAATACAATGGTTGGTATGTAAAAGTACATTGGCCGCTTTGAATTCCACTCGAAAGGCTTCCGGTGTTTGCGATTATTGAAAGATATTTGTGCTGTTGTGTAACGGTCAGAGACGGTTCTCGTACGATACCTCTGTAATAATATTATGTTTAATTCATATTTTCAAATACGCCCTATATATTAACATAGGCCTACGATATATAAAATAAATTATATATATGGAGTTGCTGGTACCGGGTTACCGGGTAGCACAGACACGAAGGGACCTTAGGGGCGAAGAAAGTCATTGGTCGAGTTCCTAGTCAAGTGCCCTGAGCATCTTACATTAGATGGATATGTGCGCTATATAAAAATACACTATTATTATTATTATTATTATTATTATTATTATTATTATTATTATTATTATTATTATTATTATTATTATTATTGGCAAAAATGTGATATGAGGTGAAGTACTTGAGCGTCGGCAATATTTTGATTCGAACATTTTCAATTGGAGGCAGGCTGAAAATTCAGTGATGGGTCAGACATGGGTCCGAAATGTCCGGCAGGGTGTGCGCCTCTGGGTAGAGGGAGAAAGGGTTGAGCTCTTCTTCCGCGCATTGCTTAGATACGCCACTGAGCATGTAGAATCGATATGTATCTGCTTACGCAATCGTCACAACCTTTACATCACTATGGCCATCCTTACTGAAAACCAATTCTCAGAAATTTTCCGTAGGCCTACCATAGACCATGCATAAACAATGCATCAGTTTGTAAGTTTACAAATTCTTTCAGTTTGATATGCCTTCAAATCATCTCAGCGGGAAAATTAAGCACTTCGCGGTCGCTGATAACGAATTATAATAAGAAATTGGCCTCATTGGCTAGTGGAGCAGTCGACGGTGTTAGCAAATTTGCATCCTCCCGACTAAAAGCAACATTGTTTTTCAGACAACGTTATTTAATACCTGGATAACAACAGAAGATTACGACACAGTATCAACAAGACCTAGGACTATTTATTCATTATTAAAATAATTTATGGTGGAAGGCAATGCCAATCGAGCCCCGTGAAAGCCGTTGGTCCAGTCTATTAAAGCCCATGTGTAGGTTAAACAACTCCTGTATACTAAGCTTGTCGAAAAAATGGGATTTTCTATCGTGGACGAGTAAATGTCGAACAAGCTTGACCAGATGACGATGATGACCAACCATGGGAGTTAAAAAAATAAAAACTTTAAGCGGCACAAAATGTAATTGACCTGTGGTGATTTGTTGAGAGAATGAATTAATTAAATATTTGATTAAGTAACTATTCATAGCCCATTCTCAATTTAGAGCAATCGCATGATTGATAATTAATTGATTTTATTATTCAATTTAATATAAATATTAGGCCTATCAATTTAAATATAATCGAATGATTGATAATTAATTAATTAATTCAGTTATTTTATTATTCAATTTAACATAAAACTGTAATTTAATGGTAGGTAACAAGGTAGAGGTGTAAATATTGGTGGCTGTGATTGTATCCTGGCCAGTATTCATCGGCGGCCAACGTGAGGAAATAGCATTACATTATCATATTATAAGAATGCATCTTGAATTAAGGCAACCTTGCAATAATACCATCGAATTCATCAAATTCAAATCCGTCTATATTTAAACGCAAACGACCCCCACAAGACGACATAGGATATGATTTGCTGGGCGGAATCGCGTTCGACAAAATTCCTAGCTTGTCCTGAAATAATGAAAGAATCCGGCATAGTCGTTTCCCACAATGAATCGGTGACGTCCTGCTGGGCTAGCTATTTTGTACGGGTCCCCTGAGTGACATCGGGCAATATAGTCATGCCTGGCCCGCTAGAGACTCAAATATTGTGACCCGCCCAATCTAGATATGTTTGAAATATTCGCTAAAGAATTTCTCATCTTCGTTTTTAGTCAAATGTTTTTCTATTATGGAGTTTGTTCGACGAAAATACATTAATTCAAATCGACAGTTCAATAGAACACCTTGGATAATTATTTGTCTTTAAAACATCTTTTAATCAGAGTGATGACTTGGCGGGTAGGGTGCTTGGCCTACCATCCCATGGCCATTGGTTTGATCATTGAATACGCACAGGCTCCATTTATTTCGGTAGGAATGAAATAGTACAACATTTAGGCCTACAGACTGATGTTGGAACTTACTACATACGGGCTCTTTTCATCTTTTACTTATAGTTAGTCACTATTAAATAATAAACAATTTGGAAATTACTTTAGCCTACCTTATTAATCAATATAATATGGTATACATTAAAGCATATCAATAACAATAATACAAACACATACAAATGATACAAGCAAAAGAATAGAAGTACCAATATTTACCTAATAATAATAATAATAATAATAATAATAATAATAATAATAATAATAATAATAATAATAATAATAATAATTAATGATGATGATGATGATAACGTCGTTAATAACAATAACGCTAATACATAGGTCTGCGATGGATTTTCGACACCCGGCGCTAATTTCAGTCACGTTTTAGTCAATACAGATTTTGAAGTTCATGCTGTACGGCGTCCCGTAGTAAATGGGACCTCATAACATTCACCATTACTAATTTTCAAATTTCTATGGAATTCTATCCAATGAACATATTTTCTTCTAAAAATAACTGGCCCGGTATGATTCGCGCATTCTTTCGCTGCCAACATAACACATATCTTAGATAATATCCTGTTGCTGAAAAATTGTGGTCTGGCACAAAGCAGAATAAATTCATGAAGTAGCAGAAACCTGTATGGCTCTTTGTAACGTACTAACGTAGCCGTGAGAAGCTTGCCTTGATAGCAAAAGTTAGCAGGTTCCCGCCAGACACCAATTTCTTACAACTGAAAAGGAACTTTTCGTTGGAGAGCTTTCAACGATTAAAAACACCATATATTCCTTATTCGAGCACTGTTATTATTTATCTATTTGTTTATACTGTACTGCGTTTAAACAATAGCATGTTTTTGATGATGGTTGTCTTCATCATTACCATGATCATCATCATGATCATCATGGTCATCATCATCATCATCATCATCATCATCGTCATCATCATCGTCATCACCACCACCACCATTATTATTATAATCAACAACGGCGGCGGAAGCGGGGGGGGGGGACCATTGGCCCACCCACTTTTCAACTTCGTGGACCCGCCACAGTTGGAGTATCATTTCCGAGCTTAGCTTATAGAAGGGTAATTTTTATCCATCGGGGGAAAAATGAAGTTTTCGTCGGGGAACCCATATCAAGGATAACCCTCATAATAAAAAATTCATTGAGGTCGTGGAAGCAATCTCGACTTCGACTTTGTTCGGAAATCTGTGGCGCGTTCAATGGGAGGGGGAGGCTAAATGGAGATTTTAAGGAAAATTATATTCAAATTTTAAGTCTAAGAGTGTAATTTCCAGCCATCTACAGGTGCCATAATCAAAAAATTTCTTGCCTCAGCCGGCCCCAACCATGGTGGGGCTGAGGTGGTATAGATTCTCCATCTGCTGAAGTACCCAGTGGCGGATTCAAGGGGACCCGGACGGCCCGCCCCCACCCTCCTAAATTGTTCAATAAAAAAAATGGAGATATATAATTATATTCAAATTTTATGTCTGGAAGTGCAATTTTCGGCCATAGGTGCCATGATCAAAAATTCTCTTACCTCAGCCCCAACCATGGTGGGGCTGAGGTAGTATAGATCTTCTATCTGTCAAAGTACCCTCCCTGAGCCCTTCTATTTCGAATTCCTGGATCCGCCACTGGAAATTACAACAAATATGAAATCATATTACAGTAGCTTGATGCCTATAAAATAACTTATAAAATTCACCAAACTTCGTAAAATATCCGGGGGCCCTTGGCGGCCCCCTGGCCCCCCAGCCTAGATGCTCGCTTCGCTCGCATACTCGACCTTATTAAATGCCCCCCCGACTTTCAAAAACGTTCCGCCGCCGTTGATCATCACCATCATTATTAGATCATTATATACATATATACTAATACCAAGATATTTAAAAAAAATCAAGATGTAAAGAAAAGAAAAAGACAAAGTAGCATTCATTATGTATTTCTTTTTAACAATTTATAGGAAAGTATAACCTGCAAGTGATTAGTGGAACAGCTACTTCAATTAATTTGCGTTGGAATGATTTTAAGCCCAAGGATTCTAAAAAGGCTTTTTACCTGGTTTATTACACGGATAAATATGATGACAATACATTAAATTGGAATGGCCAAATTCAGGTAAGCACATTTAGTAGCGGTATCATTAAATCCTAGACCGCCTACTGTACTTAAGTTATGATTGAATTGGATTGGATTTCGTCGGTGCCAAACACATCAAGGAAACCCCACAAAAGTCCTAAGACTTGTTCTTCTGGTGGTGAATTGGGCAGTACATCGGAAGACAATCCCTTTCTTTTTTTCCTCCCTTCAGCTGAAACATGATGATAATAGTAAGAATAATAAAAATAATAATATTAATAATAATAATAATAATAATAATAAGAATAATAATAATGATGATAATAGACCTACTACTACTACTGCTGCTGATAATAATAATAATAATAATAATAATAATAATAATAATAATAATAATAATAATAATAATAATAATAATAATAATAATAATAATAATAAAACATAGGCAAACAGCAAAATTACAAACAATAGCATGTTGGTGATGATGATGTTCATTGTCTTCATCATCATTATCATCCTCATCATTATTATTTAATATCATCATCATCACCACCTTCACCATCATCATCACTTCATCATTTGGCAGAACGTAATATTTTAAGCGACGTATTTGCTTCAAAATAATTAGGACTTATACGAGAAATTTAATCCTTTACTTTTAAATCAACAGTTATAAGTCCTTGTTTAATGAACAATATTATGTTATATTTCACTGTCTGTGGGGCTGTCCATATTCTACCACATACGGTACGGTATTATAATAATATCCAGGATACTAACTGTACGTGTGTTTTCAAAACTAATATCACCAGTTTCCTATGTGGATACGACATCAAACCACTTCACATTCAGTTCTGTAAATTTGATTGCTTGTTGCATTCTACAGTCTGATAATCTGTCATGATTGTAGATTTGCGTATCATGATAACTTATTTAACCCTTTTAAACTAGCAATTGAAATATTTATTTTTTTTGGGGGGGGGGGTTTCAGGCCAGTAGTCAGGTTCATGAGAAGGAGGTTTTTATAGGCCAACTTAACTCAAAAGTGTCGATGATTAGCAAGTATCCGTACAGCAGTAAACTGGCCAAAAAAGATCCCCAACCCACTCGGACCATTTGCCATTCACCACACACGGTATAAAGTAATAGCGAAGACGCCAGCCGTAGGCGACGTGAATTTGTAAAATGGAAATAGGCCTATATAGTGTACAGTAGGCTTGTTGATACAACCAGTTCACGAACTTAGGTTATTGCCTTGTACAGTCTGATCTATCTGTCATTATTTCGACATCCGTATCATGATAACTTATTTAATTCTTTTAAATGTGCAACTGAATACTTATAGATTTTGTGCGGTTTTCGATATTTTACCGCACACAGTAAATAGCCAGAATAAACCAGCTGTAGGCTACTTAACAGTACTTCTAAAACTATTAAGTGGATGTACAGGTATGTAGATATGACATTAAACTATTATTATACTCGGTCAAATTTCATGAACTTTGATTGGATATTGCCTTATAGTCTGATATCTGTCATTAGCTGACATGCATATCAATCTGCATCATGAATTGTTGTTAGTGGAGAATGTATTTACGTAGAAAAAATAGAACATATACTGGATTTCCCCCCCCCCCCCTCCAGGACTGTTGTGACGTATTTGTTGGTTATAAAGGATATCTGTTTTGTTGATTCATTTTTAGGCCAGAAGTTGATTACGCAAGTCTTTTTAAAATTTAATTAAATGTTGCCGCGAATGAAAAAACATGTAAAATTATACCGGCACCTGATATCATTCTAACAAAATTGCCTACTACATAACGAATGTAGATTGCGATTTACCCCTGTGATTTACATCGGTTTATGGCATACTTTATTTCAATTTCTTAGTACAGTAGAATGTACATCATTTCTAGATGTTCAGTCATAAACTGTACATTAAGGTGAGAATAATAACAATACTAAATTACATTTACGTTCGAACGGTGATAAATTCAATTAACGAATTGTAATAATTGTTGTATTGTGATGATTGATAATGAATAATACTTTCAATAATAATAATAATAAATGATGATGATGATGATGATGATGATGATGATGATGATGATGATGATGATGATGTTGAAATATAATGGTGATAATAACATAACATTTTTCTTTTGCATACCTGTTGGGGCGGATGCATACAATGGCGTAAGGTTCGTACGCGGCTTGCTGGATTCTTTGACTGCCAAAGATAATTTGATTTTGTACTCTACCTGGCAACCAGTAATTGTCCTAGACAGACAGAAATTGAATTCAGCAGCTGACGTAAACTGCTGTGTATAGTAACTACTGTACCATTAAAAAAAAGTTAACAATATAAAAGAGGTCTTTTGTCTCAGAGCACCACTACTTTATGTAAGTAGTGGTGGTAGTTGTGATAGTGGTAGCAGCAGTTGCAGCAGTAGAAGTAGTGGCGGTAGGCCTAGTAGTTGTAGTAGCAGCAGTGGTATAAGTAGTAGTGGTGGCAGTAGTATTTGTAGTTGCTTAGAAGTGTCAGTGGTATCAGCAGTACCATTTGTAGTACCGAGGTAGAAGCAGCCACATCAACAAAAGCATATAGTAGAGTGGTGGTGGTGGCGGTGGTGGTAGTAGTAGTAGGCCTAGCTGAGGAATTAGTAGTAGTAGTTGGGTAGTAGTACAGTAGTAGTAGTAGTGGCGGCGCCAGGATTTCCCCGACGGGCAGTCCAAGGTCCCCGACAGGGGTTCATGTCCCCGACGAGAAAAAAAGTGGGCGTCGCTGAAAACCTTTCGAAAGTGGTCCAGGGGAGGTATCCCCCTAAAAATATGACAATTTAGGGTTTTCAAAAGCTAATTTAATCGATTTTAGAGTCTATTATTATGTACAAAATACATATAATTTTTTTGATTTTGTTTTCTCCCCGACGAATTGTGGTTTTTCTTCTCAGGGGGAGGGGGAGGGCTGCAGCTCCCTATCCCCCTTCCCCCGTAGCGCCGCCAGTGGTGGTGATAGTAGTAGCTGTAGTTAGTAGTACAGTAGCGGTAGTGGGTGATAGTGTAGCAGCAGTAACAGTATACCGGAGAAGAAGTACAGTAGTAGATGTCGTAGTAGAAGTGGGCCCCATGAAATCTAACCCCAAACAAAAAAAAGCATAGAAAACCAGCCTCATTGGTACAAAAATGACAATAGCTGTATGTACATTATTCTCACCAATGTGCTTACTCTGGTGTACTGAGTACAGTATAGGCAACAATTGATTTGTTTATTTATCTTCTTGTTTTAGGGTCTATATAATTAAAAGTTTAATTTGACATTACCTCAACCTCAGTTTGTTCTTATTTTGTTCTAATTTCTTGGTTTTAGCCTTATTGTTCTTAGAAAATTTGCTCTTTAAAAAGTGTATCTGAGGGCAGGGTCTACTGACCCGGTGTCTATATCTTATAAGCTATTTCACAAAGCTAACAAAAAAGCCTTTTGGAAGTTATCTCAGTGCATATTTCAATCTCTTCTCATCCGTTTAAACTAACAAATACGCGTTTTTTTTATCATAAAATATTTCCCGATGAACGTTGGAATAAGATGGTTTATAAGAAATTGATTGATGTCGTTTCTATATTTAGTGCTTCAGAAAGAAAGGTATGTGCTTATAATTTGACAAACAATCGATTAGGGGGAACCTGCTGCGGAACGTGTTGTCAAACTTGATGTCTGGTGTATTTATAGATACAACTGACTTTTTTTCCCTCCTCAACTATTCATAGTTTTGTAATTATACCAGTGTTCCCGTGGAGATGAGATGTGAATTTTGCGACCATGTAAAGTAAATAAACTATTTTTACTGAGAGGTCATAGGTTAACATATGTTCCACTGGAGAATATGGCACGCATGGCATGCAATATCATCTGGCTACCACCTGTCAGCATATTATACAAAAATATCCTTACTGAGAATTTCTCTGCCGAAAATTCAGCAATCTGATGATAGGATATAGAAATTGTTTTCATTCGTAGGATATACTGTTTTAAAATCTGATAAGTTTTGTAACACTGCAAATTATATGTTAAAAAGCAGCATAAAGCACTTGGTTAAAACACATGTGGTAACTATTGTGTGTGCGCTCAACCACCAAGATTGTTGCCATTGGTTCTATATCAATCAAGCTTACTTTGAATTAGTTAATAGCGCATACAAAGAAAAATGATATAATTTATTAATTAAAAAACCACTACTACTACTATTAAGAATGTTCACAGTGGTGGCGTCAGTGGGGTCAGGATTAATTCCCCCACCCCCGTCCGAAGCCACGACGAGGTCCTCGGACCTATAATGTTAATCTGCCTATCCTAATAACGTTATTTTGATTGCAAATCTTTAATATTATTGTGCTTTGAAAATAGCACAATTTTTGGTTATACTATAAGGATAATAACTCTCTTCAGATCCAATAACCTTTCGAGGGATTTTTATTCCGGGATCTGACCGAGGCTCTAGTTGGCCACTTAGTTCGGCCCCCATCACCAGAATGACATTACATTTGCCAACTTTTTTTTTTCGTTTTTACTTTCAATTTTACGTTAATAACTTAGCTTAAATATTTTCTAAGCAGTTCAATGTTTAAAAAATTTAGCTGGCTGGATATGTTGTACAACTGATTTTTCTAAGACACAAAAAAGCATATTTGACGAAAAATTCGGGAGCGGTTAATGAGATACAAAATTTTGAATATTAAAAAAACTGGGGAAAAGGGGGCGTAACCACCATTTTTCGACCAGTTTTTAAATATTCAGCAATCCTTATCTCATTAACCGCTACCGAGTTTTTTTTTTGGTCTAATAGGTCCTATGATTTTTGTGACTTACAAAAATCGGTTGTACAACACAACATTTTTTCCCTCCGTAGCCTGTATTTAATGCGGCATAATGATTATTAACGGTACTATCTTAAATGTCTAATATTTAATTTTTACGAGTTCTTTCTTATTAAAGTAGACATATTTTTTACTTTTTGATTATTCATCAGTTTGGCTACGGTATTCCTTTACCATTTGGATCCTTCAATAACTTAAATTTTTATTTGTCTAATCATGTTTGACAGTGCGATTTGATGTTATTTACTTATAACTGGGTTATAAAAATAGCACAAAATATTCGCCTGTCATTGGTTAGAAGCCAATGATGAGTCTTCGAATTCTTAATTGTAGCCTATTATTATTGTGTCGTTTTAACCGGCGGCATTTCTTAGGAAGCCATATATCATTGCGTCTGAATAAACTTTGTATTAAGTACAGATTGTTCTCGATGTCCTCAAGTCGGTGTTCGTACACCTGTTTTTGTGCGTAAATTTATAACATCCTTGTCGGCCGTGGCTTTAACCATGCTAGAAGCCTTAATCACTGTGACAGCTACTAAGCTTGAAGAAATTATTATGATGTTCGAGAATGCTCTCAATAAAAACAACATAAACCACAGCCAACTAAAAACAACAACAACAGCAGCAGCAACAACAACAACAACAACAAAAACAACGATAAAATTATTAATAAATAGTTCTACTAATACTACGGCTGCTAAGAATGATATACGGCCAAATAAAGTAATACGGTAATTATTAGTTTCAAGTCCGGTATTTGAAATTATTTTTTGGTGAAGGTATTTACTATTTGCTTTTTACTATCCTATTACTAATGGTACAGGCTCGTAAATAGTAATATATATATATATATATGTATATACTGTCTCTTATACACATCTTACTGAGTACAGTATAGGCAATGTTCCCACATCTTCTTAGCTTGACATCATTTTTCCAGATAGTCATTATTTCTATTGTCCATTGAAAATGTATGTTGTTTAAAAAAAAAAATAGCAAATAGTAAATTTTTTCATGAGGATCCAAAATTTGATGAGGGCGGGGACGTGAAACTAGCAATTAATTTTATTTGGCCTAAATAAAACACTGATGATTAGGATGATGATGATGATGACGACGATGATGATGATGACGACGATGGTGATGATGACGATAATGATAATGTAGCCTAATGTTAATGATGACAATGACAATGACCATGATGATGATAAGGACGATGATGTTAACGATGATGATGATGATGATGATGGTGACGATGATGGTGGTGATGATGATGGTGATGATGATGATGATGGTGATGATGATGATGGATGACAGTGGTGATGGTGATGATGATGATGATTGCAGATGTTGAGAACGATGCTGCTGAAGCTTTGACATTGATGAATTATAATGCAATAATAGTTAAACAAAAGTAATGTATATTCATATTTTAATAAGACTGGGGAAGTATGGAACAACAAAATTGAAACCAATGTCAGTGTGAGTGGTCACCAATTTTATCACTACCGGTACCATTGCAATTATTATTACCGTATTCTGTCATCTTACCATTATCATCGGAATCACCACCACCACCACCACCATCATCATCATCGGCATCATAATCAATCGTAATCAATCGCAATCATCATAATCAACATCATCCTCACAATAATAATTAAATGATTAATTAATTAATATAAACCAACACTAACATTATTTTATTCAGGTAAAGACAGGTACGTATGTATCAGTAAAAAATCTGAAAACTGACACAGACTATTACTTCAAAGTCACGTACCGTATACAAGGTAACGGTGTACAGCTTGAAGGACCGTCATCGGAAACAGCTCTACACACGGCAGGTGCCCCAAGTAGGTACCATTATACTTATCATTACAAATAGGTTGCAAAACTAGTGAAATAAACTGAAATGGACCCTCAATATTAGCGCGGATGAAAATTATATTCAAACTAAAGTCGGTGGGTAGCAGTTCCGGCCGCACTCTTAATGTGCCATTATCCTTTTCTTACCTCAGCCCCAACAATGGTGGGGTTGAGGTGGTCTAGACTCTCTGTAAAATACCCTGACTGTGACCCCCTCTATTTCAAATTCGTGGATCCGCCACTGGTAATTTTTGTTAAAATTTTAAATCAGCCTAATAGTCTGAAATAAAAGTATTTGTTTATCCAATCATCTAGGTATAAATCTCTTTTTGTTATAAAATGACTGTTTGTATAACAAGTTCACGTCACGAGATGCCGTGTACTTTCATTGTCTCATTGTTATTGTTGTTTTTATGTAGGGCCTAATTGGTTATTATTCGTTAGTTCAGAATTTACAATCGTTGTTGAACGATCGTAATGATGGTAGTGTTGCTAATGATAGATTCATTAACCTTATTTCCGTGCCTTTATAGCTCCATGGGGAGGTTGCGAGCACGACGGAAAACATTTTGACGAAGGGCAGACGATAAAGCAGAGCTGTGACGCCGTCTGCGATTGTTTGCTTAGTTCGTGGTTGTGTCGGCCTAGAGCCTGTCCTCCCACCCCTGATGTAGTATTCGACAGCAAGAAGAACTGCCGCGAGGTACCACACCCTGATGATCCAGGGTGTTGTATAATTATTCAGTGTGACGACGATGAAGAAGACGAAATAGATGTAGAACCACGTAAGGGAAAACATAATTTCGACAATTCATTGCAAAATTTATGTCTTAGAAAATTAACAAGTTTAAAATACGGTTTCAAATGTCCAGATTATCAAATTTTCGTTGACAAGAAATCTGTTGTATGCCCAATTATAGTCATGATATGCCTATATATGGTCATATCATACTTAGGCATGTCATATACAATTTGATAGTCTGGACAGAGCTTTACGAATAATAGTATAGCGCCTTTTTCCTATAACTTTCTACTCCCCAAAGGTACGGTAATGGGTCACGTCGTGAACCTTTCTTTTGTTATTAATCGTTGCATAAGTCTAGTCCACGGTAGTGGCTGTACTAAAGCACCGTGGTAACCCCTTTATCATTCTCGAAGTAGTGCTCCACGATTAAGTCTGTGCTTTTACCAGCCAAGCAATGAGCAAGTAGGATCTGGTATCAGCGCCGAATGTAATGAGACTTAGTTACGACACCCTGCATTCGCACGAATTGTAATACAACAAATCATTGCAGGTTTATAAGACCTAGGCCTACTACACTGAATTATGAAATATTTATTAAGGGCGGTTGCTGTTATAAAACATCATAATTTCCAATAATAAATGAAATGTATTTTGTTGTATTCAAAATAAACCAGGTGACTGCTTCCGCGATGGCGTACGACACAAGCACGGACAGACATATTACTATGATTGTGACGAAGTCTGCTACTGTGACGACGGCCAGGAAACATGTGCACCTCGATGTCAAGAGCCAGGAACCATGTTGCCTGACCCAGACACCTGCCCCCATCCAAAACTTAATGATCCATCGGAAGGTGAATGCTGCCCCTACTGGTCCTGTCCACCACCACGTGAGTATGTAAATGAAGTAAACTTGATACAATAAATGAATATAAATCAAAGCCTTTTTTCCATAAAATCGCTACACGCTATCGCCAACAGCTTTCGGTGATGCCGATTGGTCGGTCGAACGATTGCGCTGAAAACACTGTAGTAATAACGTAGCGATTTTAAAGAAACCAGGCTTTAAGTAAACTTTATCCAATCAAAAACAGGTGTCGATTACTCAACCCATTTCAAATAAATTATAAACTTCATCCAGTCAAAATATAGGCTTAATGAGGTAAAATTCAGTCCAAACAAAAACGTGGTACATTCAACGGAGAATGTTGTTTAGTTAGCATAATGCATAAGTTATAAGTGTGTATAAACGTCATGGAACATGTCAAAATGAATATATGACATATGGCTTACTGAAATGTATGGTGTAGTATAACTTTAGTCTTCAGTCAGTTAAAAAAAAGTTCAGTCGATTGATTTTATGTCCCAACGTCATCACGTATTTTTCTGGCACGTAAAATGCTAAATCTTAACACTCCACACGAGTAGTCAGTCCGGAAGTCGTCAAGTACACAACCTTGTCTAGGAATGTAACACTTGGGAGAAGAAGTGCTCTTGTACACGTCATGTGCCATCGTAGGCCTATATATCATTAGTGTCCATGTATATTATTAGAAATACATATGACACAGGACTGTAATAATAATAATATTCCTATAATATAATATTATATCAATTGGCAATGCATGGTAGACAACAAATTTTAAACTTCAGACGCTTAAATACAAACAAAATTTGCACCGTCCAATTCAGATTAAATTAATGTTTTATAATAATACCCAGTGAGGCCTCGAAAAGCATCTTGGATTGTTCTGCTGATCACTTGACATTCCAAAGTGAATTGTGATAGGCCCATTGCTAGGAGGCTTTCAATCAAGGAAAACTGATATTTGCGGGACGATGTTTGAACGGAAGTTGCTATCACTAAAATCTTCCCTAAAGTCGACGTGATACAATGCAAGCGAACTTTTCTTGGCACATTGAGTCATAATTCATATACGGATTTAAAACCAACAGTGTACTGTAAAGTTTAACAAGAACAAACTTTTAAACTGGGAGCCAACAATCTGGTACACCTAATGAACTTATACGACATTGTTCATGGAAAGTTACACTAAGGCATTTGGAAGATATGTAGAATTCATGTCGATCTTTAGGCATATATGCCGAAATGTCAAAATGTACCGTAAAGATAATCGCCGGTGTCGAAAAAAGGCGGTACTAATAGAACACGTTCTGTAACTGTAACGCTAAGTCGAGCGCACACTGCGCTCGACTGCGTCGGCCGACGCAATTTCTTAAGAAAAGCAACACGACGAGGCGTACGCAACTGATCGTTTTTAATGACATTTTGCTAAGTTTTATCATCGACAATCAGCAGACAGCGTCGCGTCCTCGCTCAAGCGCTCAACGAGAGCGGAGATGGGTTCGACGCAGTGTGTTCCCGGGGTTTTATTTAACGGTATTCTGTTTTGAATAAACGTCGCAGCGTACCATCCAACTTTTGTATCATCGGGACTTTATTAAATAACCGATTTCTCAGGTAATTATTTATACTAACGCTGCAACAATTCAGATAAGTCTGTGTACAACAAATGGTACCACTTTACTCTTCGATAATTTGTTATGGGCCGCTTTGGAAGCTGCATTTCAAATGTCAAACTGAAGACTGAAAATATATCGCAGTTCGTAATTTTTGTCATTTCGGTGTAGGCGTTTTTCAGTCATTAGATCACACATAGGCCTATACACTATGAAGAACCGGGGAACAGTTAAACACATTGTCAGCTCGCACAAGGAGCATTAATTTATAATGTTGTATGAAGCTAGAGCACAGTGTATTGAAATATGGTACCTATACTGAACTACTTCATAATACTCCAGAATTGAAAAAAAAAAAAAAAAAAAACCGAAATAAGAGTGCCATGGACACAAATAGACTCGAACCCTCGACCTTTCTCTATTGAAAGCTAAGAGATTTACCATAATTATGTTTCATTGCATTTTAGGCAGTCGATTTTTACAGTACACAGAGGGCGCACGCCAACTCTAATAAGCAAATTTGAGTTATAGCCGGTATAATATACACTTTTTCCTATTTCATAATAGAAGTGGTTTATTTTATGCCTTTCTTTCTCAGCTGGTTACTGTGAGATGAACGGAAACACATACGCCGAAGATGAATTCTTCGACGTCGATTGTTCTATGAGATGTCAGTGCATGAACGGTTACATCAATTGCTACCCTCGTTGCTCCCACACAGTAAGGCCTCCGTCAGCCGACTGCCCTAACCCAAAGAAAGTAAGAATTCCAGGCGAATGTTGTATGCAATGGGAATGTGTAGATATTGGTAAGAACAATTTTTATATATTTTATAAAATCTGTTGGTATTTCATTTGATGTTTCATCAATGTTTATAATCGATTGAGACCTTCATTGAATGTACTTTTAATATTGTTTCTACCAATAATCCTTATATAGACCTAAGTAATTGTAAATGTGTATAAGAACCTGCATTTCGTGTCGAATAAACTGAAGTCTGATCAGATAACTCTATTTGACTTAACAATATGTAATTTTGATAATGTGTTCATTAATACCGGTATTCTATTAGTGTAAAATCAGTTTTTCGCTAGTTGAAGAAGGCCTGAGATAGCGGACCGAAAGTTACTGGCGAGTTATTTTCGAATTTTACTGGGTTTACATTAATAAACACATTATTAAAGATTAATTTTATTAGCTATGCATCGAATAATTTATAAGTTATCGTAATGTTAATTCAGACTTTTTAGAAGACATTTTATTCCTACCGTAAAGAACGTGTAAATAAAACCGCGCCCTCTCTCGTTTAAGAACCGAAAACGTGTGTCTACATGCGGAGCGCAACACTCAACAACATCACGTTAGCCGACGGTGAATGGATTGATGAGGGATGCGACAGTCGATGCCACTGCACATTGGGGGAAGTGACCTGTATGCCGCTTTGTGATCAACTCGAAACACCTATACCAACTCCACTTTGTCCGGCACCGGTGATAACTAAAGTTAAAAGTACAGATTGTTGTCAAGTGGTAGCGTGCAACGATCCCGATAAACGTGAGCCCATATTTTAGTATTACGTCATTCAAAATTATATGAAAGTAATAACATGTCGAATTCATATTCTAAATCGATATTATCAGAATATAAGACTGTACAATAAACATATGTATATGTAGTACAGGTCTACAGGCCTTATTTAGCATAGACCTATAAAGTATAACCCCTATTAAGGGGACACCTTCGAGACCAAAAAAGTTTCTTTTTAATATGGATGTCCCTTGAATAAGGGTTAGTTGTATACTTTTTAAATATATTTTCTCTTGATTCGCAGCCCAAATAGTGTCCAAAAAGGAGGTTTTCCTCCGTATATAGGCCTAATGAGATATAACATTATATTTTAGACAGAAAAACATAACTATGTTGAAGCTTGGGTCACAATGCTTGAATTTTAAACCCACATTCGCAGATTCAATATATCTCATGCCAGTCCAACTTCCTAAGATTTAGTTAGACTTGGTTGCCGACAGCCTTGGTTTTTATTAGTGATAATTTACACAAAAATATCTCTGCAAATGATTGAAACTTATACTATGATTAACCATATGAAATAAAATAACGGCGTTGTCGGTTTTTTTTTTTCTTTACTTTTTTTAGCAAGTCCAAATGCTGTACAGGATGTGACAGTGTATGCGATTAATTCATCCGCCATTACCATAGGATTCGCTCCCCCGACAAATCCGGACCTTCGGAACATTTTAGACGGATACCATATCTATTACACCGATCAATCGGAAGAAGAGAACATCGAAAAGTGGTTGCGTTATCGACAGGTAATTTCCGCTCACGTATGCTTAATAATCATCTTCCTAACTCTACCGCATCCCTCAAAATATGAAAATACTTGTTTGATTTGATTTGATTTATTCCGTTTCATAAAACATTACATAAAACGAGCATGCTTAAAAATTCAAAGTATAAGTTAAAATGAACTAATTAAACCAGGATAACCAAAAAAGTTTTATTTATTTATTTATTTATTTATTTATTAAACTTATTTCCATTTGAGTCTATAAAGTACCATGGAACAATACAAAAATTCTTAAAATATGGCGTGATAAAATTTATTTTATAAAAAAGATGATCTCATGCACAGAGATGATTCTTAACTAGCGTTTTAAATCTATATGCATTATTGGTGGGCTTAATATTATGTTCTGGCAGTGAATTCCAAGACTTCATTGCATTATAATAAAAAAAAAGTAATTGTCCTATACCATTCAAACGTATCTCGAAATTGTATCTTCTATTTTTGGTACAGAAAAGGTCAACACAGACTTTTGTAAAGGACTTACAAATATTCTGATGACATCAAACAGTAATATATTAAATTTCCGGAGACTCGATGCGGTGTTTATCTTTCTAGTCTGTTTCCGATTTTTTTTAGTTCTTGGTTTAGCTTCAAACATATGTTTTCTTTTTAGTGCATTGAATTTTAGGTATAGTGAGCTATATTAAATCACATTAAATTATTCGGGGTTTTTTTCAGTGTCGCACGCCCCACCCCTCAAAAAAGCCCCAAGTCTCTCCCTACTGGAAATGTTCTAAGCAAAAAGTAGTTAAGAATCACCTCATATTAAAAAAAGATCAGAAAAAGCAACAAATCTTATCTGTACATTATATGCACTAGGTGTGCACAGGTGTGTGTAATGCTGTACAATGATAATTTTCTATCTTCGAAAAGTGAGTAAAATAAGAACAAAATTAGAACAATTTAACCCTGAAATTGGCAAACAAAATGAGAACACTGAGTCTGGGCAAGGTTTTCCCGCCTATTATTTAAAAAAAAAATTAGTATGTCCAGGGAACAACTGTTCCCTGGTATGTCCTATCTCTGCTATTAGCTTCAATTAAGACGTTTTGATACACCTCTTGTCAATCTCTTGGACGCACTGGATAGGTGTGCGCCAAACTCTTCTCCCAACACATTCATTGACTAGGCATGTTAACGTTTCTTTTTAGGATGACATCCCAGATGGATTTCGAATGACTGGGCACACGATAGTACAGATCAATAACCTACGTCGACAGGCAACGTATTACATCCGGATAAAAGTTACTATTCCGGAAAGTGTCGTCACACAATGGCATAATACACTTCCTGCTACCGATACGATCGTTATACGAACCAATGAAAAACAACGTAAGTTAAAATGTTTGGCCGTTAGTATGATTTTAAACATGTTACATCTTGTTTTCCCCATCTATGTGTTTGGTTTTGTATATTTTAGATGTAAATACAAAAAAAAAGAAAACAAATAATGCACTGTTATGAGGATTGTGCTTAGTTCGAATAAAGTTAATAAATAATTTAAAAAAAAAAAAATTTATATAATATATTTTTTTTGTTATTCAAATTTATATGTTTAGCCCAACCGTGTCACTATAGAGGAAAAATATATGAACATAACAAAACCTTTAACATCGGCTGTGAATCGACATGCGAATGCAAGTTCGGGCAGACGGTGTGCCGAGCACGCTGTCAAAAGGTGGACCTGCTACCATCTACGGACTGCCCTAGCCCTCGGCAGATCTACGAGCCTGGCCAGTGCTGTCCAACCTGGCAGTGTTTCCCCAACGGTAAGTGCATTGATTCACTTACACAGGTACTAATTATTATTCATATGTTTGCAAATACGATAGACAGCCCTCTATGGGATGCAGTATGGTGTACTGGTTGCTAATCAGTACGGTACTGATAAATTTAACAAGCTTCTCCATTAAGATAGAATGGTTTATCAGATCATACGCTTTACTATAATCAATAAGCATCAATGCATAATTCGTTTCCTTTGTCCGTCGCAGAGTAGCACCGATGCAATACTGACACAAGCGCGTCAATAGTACTTACACCTTGCATACAGCCAAATTGATGAGGGTTTATTTTATCCTTTATTTGATCCCAAATATGTTGGCCGATCAGTGCTTCAATCTGTTTACTTACAATTAGCGTTAGTGGAATCGGCCGCAGATCTTCTTCAATTACTTTGGGAGGGTTCATTTTCGGTATAGGCACAATATCAGCGCGTTTCAGCTCATTAGGCACAACCCCTTCTCTTAAACTTGCGTTAAACTGCGTTAACATAGTGGACCGGCCAATTCATCAGCAAGATCTTTATAGATCCATCCGGGAACGCCATCGGGCCCCGGTGCTTTATTACATTTAATAGCAACAAGCTTCTTCCTGAGAGTTTCGACGTCTATGATTAAATGATCAGGGACGTGTTCATAGGCGCTCTTAGGACAAGGCGAGGGAATTCGAGGATAGTGAAGACTCACAGATTGAAAAAACTCGTTAGTCTTCTCAGCCAAAACATCAATGTCGCCATTAAAAAGTCTGTTTGCGAGACCTTGAGCATAATTGGACTTATTCATAAATACGCGCGTGTGTTTCCACCAAGACCTTGAATCGGAGTTGAAAAGTTTCTTAACATTTTTCGCGTAGTATTCTTTTTTAAGCCGTTTACAGAGCCTATTCACACCGTTCCTCAATTGGTGGAACACGGTTTCATCTGCCCTCGAAGGCCAACTGTACTGTCGTTTACGTATTAACTTTTTTTAGTCGCGTCGAGACCCATGGTTTGTCAACATCTTTCTGAAATGTGATTTTAAATGGGAAGTGAACTTCGATAAGATCTTTAATAGTTCGGCTGAACATATCATTTTTCTCCTCACATTTCTCAATACGGTAAAGGTCTCTCCACTGTAAATTTCTCACACTAGTCATGAAATTGTCTTTAGCGTGTTGATCGTAGCATCTTCTAGTAATTTTTATCGTAGAAGGTCTATCTATTTTATATGCTTTGTTAGGTTTCCACAACACAACATTATGGTCGCTTCGTCTATAGGTGCAAATACATCAGGTTCCACGTATAATTCTTTCATGGAGGTAGATGTATATATACAGTCAAGAATTGCGTCCTTTCGAGTCACCTTCTTAACTACCTGTAGAAGAGGGTAACTTTTAAGTTGCCTGTCGTTTAAACGGTTAAAATCCCCGGTTAAAACAACACTAGTTTCAGGGTGATTTGTGCAAATAGCGTCGATACTAGCCATAATATATGTTGCACCATAGCGTTATCGTTCGCACCCGGAGGATGGTATATGACAGCAGTGGATATATTGGGGATTTTTCGGGGGAGTTTACGAGGTCTGATGGTAATCCATATAGTTTCAAACAGGTCGTCATGAAGAACATTCCAGTAAGTGTAAGGAATTGTGTTTTTAACATATAAAACAACACCACCTTTCTCACGCTCAATCCGGTCACGTCTAATAAAACTATATCCATCAAGAGCAATTAGATCATCTGGAACACTTTCTTTAAGATGAGATTCTGTAATACTGATGACGTCAGGCTTATACACAAGAATCCTTGTTCTAATGTCGTCCATCTTATTCAATAAGGATAGCGAGTTAGTCGAGTAGGTAAATCCCATTTATTGCTATGATCAACTAAATTTACAAGATTATTTTGGTTTGTGAAACGACGAGATTTTTGTTGGCTTCGCTTTCGATTGTTAAGAATAACATACTCGCTAACATGTTTCAAATACCTCGGTTGCTTTGTTTTCGTTCTCCTACCGGCACGTACACCTCTCCTTGTCTTTTTTGCTACGCTCGCTAGTCAGCCTAAGAATTCCAGCCATTCATTCATAGAAATTTCGCTCGATCTAAGATTTAAAAAACAATGTCAGAAAGTAGGACGTACATGCACAAAACCACAAAAGCAGCACAACAGACAACATATGAAATAAACATACGAAATCACTGTTCTTACATCAGCTCCCCTATAGCTCGAGAAAAAAAAATGATCGAACGAAAAAAATGAAAATGTCAATTCATGAACAATCAAACCGAGTATATTTTATGGGCCAACGCACATGACAACAAGAACGAGTTCTGTGTTGTGGAGAGCGATGCTGGTACATGCTGATGATGACAATAAACCCGGGAACTCACTTATATAAGTGAAGAAAATATGACACCGAGTAAATGCAATTTGTAATAATATACTATGTATGATATATTTTTGGTAGATGGAGATTGTAGACATAATGGTACTATCTACAAAGATGGCATGGAGTGGCGTTACGGATGTGACGTACGCTGCGAATGCAAGAATAGTAAAGTCCAGTGTCGTAACGTATGTACAAATGGAACACAGAATCTACCAGTTTACGACTGTAAATACCCTGTACAAATCAGCGTGCCCGACACATGCTGTAAAGAATGGGTCTGTTACGAAGGTAAGTAACATATAGCAATATATAGGGAACAAATGTAGGCTTATTAATCCAACACAACATAATGGTAGGTCGGCAATTTTAAATGTAGGCATATATATTTTACATTGGCTTCGCCAAGTTTTATGGTCCATTGCCAATCATTACTCCCCCAATAAATTGTAAAATGGTCACCACATGATAAAATCCATGGCTAAGATATCAGATTTGTGAAATGGACCTTTCTGGAGGGAGTGTTAATCAAACTTAATAATTGACCAATCACAACAAGCCAGGGATAGGCGTGTGTCTAACACACGAGTTGTCCCAATACGCACGTGTTTGCATATGTTTAAACATTGTCGTTTTGTGGGAACTTATCAACGACATACAAGGGGCGGGGCCTAATATAAAGCTCTGTTTCCATAGAATCGCTCACCCTATCGGCGACAGTCGCTTACAGTTATCGGGAAGGTTGAACCTGGTTCAACTTTGGCAATAGTGTTCCGACGATCACTCCTATCCGATGCAAGTTAATGAGAAATCCAGTCAAGATCGCATGACTGGAAAAGCCGGGCTGTCTTCCCGATTGCGTCAGGGCAACTAGCAATGCACCTTAATTCCGTCTGCAACGCAATCGGCAAAGTCGAACCCCGTTCAACTTTCCTGACAACTATCGGCGACTGATTCTATGGAAACCGAGCTTTAAGGTTCATTATACAACAGTACCTTAAAATGTCATTTTCAAAAAAAAAAATAAATAAAAAAAAAAGATACTAGATTCTCTAAAACTTGTCGGTTGGGCTTGAGCAACATGGAATTGTTTTGGACCTTTGAACAAAGTGAGAACATAATTACGAAAGTCGTAGAGTTATAGAAAAGACGTTTTTTCAAAGGAAGAACTAAATTAATAGACCTACACAATATTGGTGGAAGCACGAAGGTATGAATTGAAGACCATAATACGTAACATAAAACATCAAATTGTTGGTTTTTTTTTTCAGAAAAACCGCCAACACATATGCCTCTTCCTTCACTACCGTTACCCCTGTCTTCTTTCATTATTGAAATCACTGCGCATGACATAAACGCCAGGGAAGCTGTGATCACGTGGCCAATACTGACAGACGTGCAGCGCCAGTTCATCTCTTTATTTCGCTTGAAGTACCGAGAACTTGGCTACGACGTCAGAATGTGGAATAGTTCAATTGAGTTCAGACCGGAGCTGATCAAATACACACTGGTCAACCTGAAGCCATCTAGGAGCTACGTGGTGCAGTTAGTGGTCATTTTAGGGGAAATACACGAACCTGGTATCGCACTAGAACTGCAGACGAACAAAGTAGAAATCGACACTTTATGGGTTCCAGGTAAAACTTAACACGATGTTGGTGAACCTTTTCATAATAATGTTTAGTTACGGTACTCGTTAAAACACCGTTGCGTGCGTGAAAAGTTCTAAGAGAGGTTATTTTTTTTTGTTAACGATCGATAAAACTTTATATTATACGTAATAAACACCCATGTTTGACAATTTGAGTCCGCATAAAATGCCTTCCTTGAATAGTTACAAAGAAACGAGGCATGGTTTTGGGCGAAAATTCCAAAATGCAACCAATTAATAAGAAGTAAATGAAATAATAAAATAAAGTAAAGAAATTTGAATTGTTGGCCCTCTTCCTAAAAAAAAGAAAAGTGAAACACGAAATTTCCTACCGCTTACAGTCGCGGATCCACGAATTCGAATTACAGGCCCAGGAAGGGGTTACACCAGCAGAGGGTGTAGACCACGTCAGCCCCACCATGGTTGGGGCTGAAGTAAGAACATTTATGATTATGGCCCCCTTTAGGTGTCCGGAACTTGCACTACCACACCTAAATTTGATTATAATTTTCTTTTTTTCTCCATTCATTTTTGTCTTAATTTGAGGAGGCCCGTCCGGCATGGCATCTACCACTGATAATGAATAATTGCATATGCTGATAACACATCACACTATAAATTAATTGAAATGTAGATTAATAATCATAACAATAAATTATTATTTCAACAGCGGAACCTTACCCTGGAGAACCAATTGATATAGAGGTGCTATCAGTGAATTTAAATACAATCACACTAAAATGGGAGGCTTTACCGCAAGCTATCAACGTCGATCTCATTGGTTGGAGACTTACGTACGGCAAAGAAGAGGAACCAAATAAGATTAAAAGTAAAAGGGTTAAGAAATCAGCCCTGTCGTATGTTTTGCGTGATTTGGCGCCCTCACAGGCATACAAAATACAGCTTATAGGCCTCTGGGATAACGGTACGTTAACTCGCGAAGTGAGGTCAAAGATAATTTCTGAGACGACGAAAACGCCAAACACGACTATTAGTACTGGTGAGAGAGCATATTATTAATTTTATTTTAGATATTAATTTCTTTTAGAACTCTTTTTAATGGACATTTTCGCAAAGCCTTTAGAAAAATTTCGGGAATGTACACAAAACAACTCCACTCCCTAAATATCCTATGGAGATTTAGTTTGTGTAAAGCATCGTGTGTGTGTGTATGTTTGTCTTGTGTAAGGGATTGTCACCTACAAGTAGGATAGTGATATATTCGCTGTTGACAATCCTTGGCACATGTATTGTGTGCCTAAATAAATAAATAAAATAAATAAATAAAATAGACTGAAAGACTATGTGTCAACACAGTGAACACATAGTAGGTCTATATAATGTACTGGAGGTCCTATCTTACTATAGCTTCACGATATAAAGACTATGAAATTGAGTATTATTGGTCGTCATTGACGTCGCATAACTATGTACTATCATTACCTCTTTCTAAAATGGAATACACTGTGAGGTCTGCGTAAGGGGAGAATTTGTTTATCATTGTGAAGATAGCTTTTTAGGTATTAGATACGTCATACCTGATGTCTTTTTCTATTGATCGCCAACTAGGTCACTATCTGTCGAAATGGGGAGATAAAAACATATTTTTGAAATTTTGAAAGTATTAGACCATATCTGAATACCTCATCCGCTACGCCACAAGTATTATATATACATATATATTTTTAATATTTAAATATTTATGTTTTCGTAGGAATAAAGAAAGGATCTTCGACCGTAGGGGTCGCTGTTGGCATGGTTATTTTGGCGGTCATCCTTATTGTAGCGATTGTTGTGTTATATGTCAAAGTAATTCGACCGAAGACAAAGCGTCAATACGATGTTTATGTGCGAACAACAAAAATAAATTATGACAACACGTCAACGTATGATCAAATTTCTAAGGTAAATTATTGTTATGAATGATGATGGTAATAGTGATAATTTTACTTGAATGGTGATAATGATGATGATGATAATGTTTGTGATTATTATGACGACGACGGTGATGATGGTCATACATATCATGCCATACAGTGGTATATTAAAAATAATTGAATAAGCTGCACGTACACTGTACTATTGTTAAGATCCTCACCTAACACTTGTACTACGTTATAAAGTAATAAAGTTTTTAATTTCCTTGGTACTATTTTCGAAATGGAAGTCTGATGGGAGGGCGCGAAGGTGAAGTGTGTGTGTGTGTGTGTGGGG